TCGACCGTCTACATCAGTGGTCCATAGAAAATAACCTTCCATTTAACGCTTCGAAATGTCGCGTCCTTTCTACCCGCCCTTCCGCTTTTTCTCCTGTATATTACCTGGGAGCGCCTATCCTCCAGATCTCTTCAGCCGAAAGAGACTTGGGTATCATTACCCAGACGAGTCTTTCCGTATCCGCTTCCTGCCGGAAAGCAGCTGCTGCTGCTAACCGCATGGTGGGATTGTTGAAACGAGCCTTCGGTCAAATTGACCCCAGCAATTTCCGCCTCCTCCTTAACGCTTTTCTCCGACCCCACTTGGAGTTCGCTATTCAGGCTTGGAGCCCTTGGTTGTTGAAGGACCAACGCATACTCGAAGCCCCACAACGTCGAGCAACCAAACTGGTCCGAGGTCTCAAGCACCTAGATTATCCACAACGACTTCAGTGCCTGGGCCTCTACTCGCTTAAGTACCGACGTCTACGGGGCGACCTGATCCTCGTATTCATGATCTTATCCAACCCTGGACATCCCTGTCGCCACCTACTCACACTGCACCAATCGGGCTCCCACCTACGTGGCCACCCACTGAGGCTCACACGTCAGCACAGTCGGCTGAACTGCAGACGACACTACTTCTCTTTGCGAATCTGCCGACCGTGGAATGCTCTGCCGGCCGATTTAGTCTTGGCACCCACTGTGGCGGACTTTAAGGCCCGCTTGGACTGTCATCTGGCCGAGCTACACCGCGATATTCCCTAATTTAATTACATTCTACTGGATGGAATTTCTTTCTCTTTTTTTCTTTCTTCCACCTTCCTTTCCAAAGCCGTTTCGGAGGGCGTGGTGGGATGTCTCGCTTTGAGCCGGCGTGCATTCTGTTTAAATGCCACATAAGCCCGATGAAGATACGGCTAACACGCGAGTCCAACCCGCTATAAGGTTGCTTGGCCTTTCATTAAACCCGACCCGTACTCTTTTTACCCTATGGGTCATGTAAAGCTCCAGCTTTTATTCCCATCAAATACAATGTTCCAATGTACCTCGGCTCAGCTTACAGTTGTTATGGTGTAAAGAAGCCCTGGGAGCGTATTCAAAAAAGCACTTGACTTCATTCGCTCCCAGTCCGCAAACAAGTGTTTGGTGACGGGCGACTTCAACCTCCCAGAGGTTTGCTGGGTGGAACTTCCTTGCGACTCAGAGTCAGGCACATACGGCGCTGATCTGCTTGAGTTTACGCTCCAAGTACCGTTGCATCAGTTCATTGACCTCCCAACTAGGTACACGTACGCCCAAGTACCGTCTATCTTAAACCTGGTATTTACTAAGTCACTCGATTTTGTTGGTGACATTACTTACGGACCTTCACTGGGTTCCAGTGATCATGTTTGTTTGCTCTTCAGTTGTACTGTCTAGACGCTACCGGAGTACTGTTGAGTCGCCCGAATATATGGCACGCAGACTATCAATCAATGAGAGTCAAAGCTTCGGGTTTCCATTGTGAGATCTCAGACGACGATACTGTTCAGGTTGTCTGGGATAAATTTAAGTCCTACCTTACAGAGGTCTCTGCTCCCTTCATCCCAGTCACAAGAAGAAAGGAGGCACGAGCACAGCCGCCCTGGATAGATTCCACTGGCAGGCATCTGCTCACAGAGGTCTAGATGTTGGCGGACTTACCGAGATACTCCGTCCACCTATACTTATGACAGGTACCGTAAGGCTAGAAATAGGTGTAAGCAACACCTAAGGGATGATCGGCTCAATTTCGAGAAAGGGTTGGCGGACGAAGCGTCAGAAAATCCAAAAAGATTCTTCGCTTATGTCAAAAGGCGCTGCGGTTCGAACATGTCAACTACAGTATTGACGTGTGATGACGGTACTCATACGGACTATGACAAGGCCTGCGTACTTAGTGGGCAATAGGCGGCAGCGTTTGTAAGGGAAACCTCTTTGACAGGCGTTGAGCTGGTTTGCAGGACCCCGGAGGGTTCAGGACTATCTGAATTTATTGTAGCGGAGACGGAAGTCCGTAGGCTGTTACAAGGGCTGAGCCCTTCTAAGGCCTCTGGGCCTGATTTAATTCATCCGAAACTGTTGCATGAGTTGGCTGCGGAACTAAGTGTACCGCTCGCTATGGTGTTTCAGAAATCGCTTGACAGCTGTGCACTGCCTTCCGAAGGGTAGGAAGCTGTCATCTGTCCCATCTTCGAAAATTGGAACAGGAGTCTGCCTGCAAATTACAGGCCAGTTCGCTTCACGAGTGTAGTAGTCAAACTCCTAGAGAAACTGGTGAGAGATTCATTGGAGAGTCATCTGAGTAGATTTAATCTACTTGGCAATGGATAACCCGGATCCTGGAAGGGATTTTCGTGTCTGACGAATCTACTGGTGGCTCGCGAAAGTTGGGTGGATGCAGTGGATAACGGCCACGCACTAGACGTACTTTTCGAAGGCATTTGACAAGGTACCCCATTTGAGGCTCGCGCAAAAGCTAACCTACAGACGATCTGGCCGCGCCCTTCATTGGGTGACTGTCTTCTTGGGGGTAGAGAATAGTGTGTACGGGTAGGCCGGGGCCTATCGTTTAGGCAGTCTGTCTTCGGTGGCGTACCGCATGGCTCGGTCCTTGGACCGCTGCTGTTCTTTATCTATGTAAATGACCTACCCGCGGAGTTTGAGGTACCATCGCTGCTACTTGCTGATGACCTGAAGCTGTGGAACATTGTCGATGTTCCTGGGGGTTCCGAAGCTATTAAGAGAGCATTGGGTAAGCTTTGGGACTGGTCTACTTTATGGTTACTGCCTATTAATCAGGCAAAGTGCTCCGTTCTTCGAATTGGAGGAAGTTGTCCTCCTACGAAGTACTTGGTCGGTGGGGTCGAACACCCCCGTGTACCTAGCCAGGTTTACCTAGGCCTCGTACTCTCTTGGGCTTTACACTTCGACGACAACTGGAAGAAGGCCGCAAGTAGAGGTTTCCGCATGTTGTGGTTAATACGACGTTCTTTCGGAGTGTTGACCGGCGGCATCTTTACGAGACTGTTCTCGGTTTTCGTTCGGCCTCATCTGGAATACTGCGCCCAGGCTTGTCCGCCGTCTCCTCAAGGACAAAATGGAATTAGAGTGGGTTTTACGAGTGGGTACTAGTTCAGTCGAGGGATTACGGGGCGGACGTACCCCGTGCGTCTAGTTAGTTTAGGAATGCATTCAATGCACTACCGAAGGCTTAGACGAGACCTAATCCTAACCTACCGTATCTTAACTGGGAAGATTGGTCCAGATGTACCTGAGCTATTCAGTCCCGCTAGATTGTCTGTTCTACGCGGTCATTCCTTGAAGCTGGACAAATCGTGGTCCGATCGGATTAGGGCGGAAATCCGGCTATCACGCAGTCATCGAGCACTGGAACATGGTTCCGGAAAGTGTTATCAGGGAATCAACGGTCAAAGAGTTTGAGCGGCAACTTGACGCTCTTGGGTGGCAAGACGAAACCTTTGCATTTTCCTGAGTAACTCGCATCTTCGTACTTCGATTGTCTTTTCTCTACTTTGCTTCATGCATTGGTATTATTTTCCGATTTCAAGTGCATTTGCTTATTCTGTACCTTCGATTTATCTTCCTATTTTTGCTTACTTCACGTGACTACGACGGCAGGGACTCCTGGGGCAGAAAACGTGGGCATTAACTGGTTGGCCAGGATGCGATACGGGTGTTCCGTTTCAGATCCATCAATAACTGAGCACTTCATCAATTCCTGGCTCAACGATCCACTCAAAATGGAACACTCACGGGATTTTCTTATCGTTCCAGTACCATCTGGACTTGAACTTCAGTTAATCTCATAATTACCACTTTGCTGTGTACTTGAAGAGCTCAGATGACCTACTTGCGCTACTATATCCTTTGTAACTACCATATCCGAACGGGTAACACTGTGAAGCGGCTTGGTTAGTGTCTTTGTAAGCAACAAAATTGCAGTCTGAGGTATAAGCGGCAACCACAAACAGCGTCTAGTCCGACTTTTCGAACTAACTTTAGTTTCTGTCCTCAAACGGCCGTTAAGAGAAATCCAAACAAGCAACGATGAAAGCCACGAAGCTGAGACCGATGCTCATCACAGCTTGATCAGTGAATGCGACCACAGCGTCTCCGGATGCGAGCAACCAATAGTGGGAGGATCAGCCGGGTACAACAACTACGCGAGGTTCAATGATCTTACTTTGGGACACACAGCATACATCAAAACCCAGGGTGTCCAATGTGCGCGCAATCGCAGCTTGTCGGCCTACTTATATTTGCGAAGTTTCAAGTCACAAGAGTAACGGGAGTGCGTAGTCTTATATTAAAATGTTCAGGGTAGAGGTTCAGCCGGAAGTTCAGGAAGATAGCTGCAGTTTTAACTTCAGTAACCTCACGGCTGTCGTCAATTAAGTTAGGAATCATAAGAGGAAAGCTAGTAATGGGAATCGAGCAATAGAAACAGGTGGAAAATAAGGAAGGAGCGAGACTTAACTATCGGCTCACGTAGCAGCACTTACGGGATTCTCCAATATTTACGGCCCCATTGATAGTTGGGTCTGATTAGTTAGCCCGAAAAATTCTTAACACAACACACATTACAGAACTTGGCTTTTGTTAATGAAACATCTAACACCAATGAGAAGTAAAATGGCATCAGGTCGGCGCATTATCGTACCAATATAGATAGGGATGAGGCTTGAATAGATAGTCCGTGACAATGCCGCCGGTTAGGGCATGCAATGGCCTGCACAGCTGGAATGAAGATGGCGGTAGGTGAAGGCGCAAACTGTATAGATGTTCATAACGATAAGCTTCTTGGTATAAATTTAGATGAGACGGGTGGCAGTTAAAGATCAGCATGCTCAAATTTGTGTACTTATAACTCTGCTCTCATCTTGCCGACGGAGATCGAAACACCTATGTTGTTGGAACAAGTAAGCCAAGGTGCAAGAAAGGTTAGTCCCGAAAACAGCTTTATTGACCGAACATCAATTACAGAGGTCTTCCACGACCGTATCCACCACGGAATTGAATCTCCCCATCCCCGAATGCGGCGTCTTTGCCTGGCATACCGAAACCTGGTGCACCGGGGGTAACAGGACCGCGTCGGAAGGCCATGCGACCATCAGATGGGCCTCCTCTACCAGCCGGCTCCATACCAAGTCCCATAGCGCGTATATCTCGCGGAGGCTGCTTCATCGTTGCGGGAATAATGTCAGATGGGAGGTGCAGAACCTCTCGTAAATGTGTCAGGCCGTCGTTGGTAAGAAACCAATAGTACGTCCGCCATGCGTATTGTTCACGAACACACCCGCGAGACTTTAGTGAACGCATCGTCTTGATAACATAGAGATTCCGGGTGTTAATGGTTGGATGCATGTAACACGGCCGTATATCATTCCTTGCCGTCAGAACACCGTCCTGGATAATCTTCTCGTAGATAGAATTCCTCGTGTCGATGGGCAAGAGCATGGTGAAGCAGCTGATCAAAACGCAACTGACAACTAGTCTACCACAGCTGGACAGCAATGATTGCGACTACTGTGAGAAAAATATTGGTAACGTGATTTAACGTTAAAAACTGTTGAAAATGCACCACATTAGGTTGCATACACTAATGAACGCATGTGTTTTAATAAGCTTCTTTAAATTAGGGCCGTTCATGTTGGACTGGAATGATAAACTTGTCCTATGAGTTCCTTATTCTATGTGTCGTTTAAACGGGAGTTGAGGAAGTACCATAAAACACTGCTGGACATAAATCAAGACTCACGCCATCTGATCAGCGCGCGCAGTTTGAAATCAGTACATTATCATTTTCCTTCGTGAAGTGCTTGAGTAGATATAACTAGTTTTTTTGTTTAGTAGACATTTCGACTGCTTTCAGCGATGAAATTTTGCAAAGTTTGGAGAAATGATTGCTGAGATGGTGTAATACAGCTAGGTTACCATAAAAAAATTTAAAATGTGTGTGGAAGTCCTTGATTTTATAATCTTTACATTGAAGTTGCTTTGACAGGCGCATTTTCTGCTTATGCTTAAGCGACAAGTATGACCTAAGTATACTTTAGCGGAACTGTGCAGTATTGAAAGCCCTGCGCTGTGGATTGTATCCTGAGTCCTCGCTCGAGCGGTACATATACTAAAATTGGAACAATGCGGTGCAGATTGCGACAGCCAGCGCGTAAGAATGACAAGCAGTATTCTAAACTTTAACGTTGTTTTACGCTTGCATCGCTACATTTCGGTTGCACCGCATTTCGACCTGATTTTCGCATTTTAATCTAGTTTATGATGGAACGCAAAGCTTACGTTTGCCTAACGTTGCTTACGAGATTTACATGCATGCAAGTTTACCTTTATTTGTACTCCTTAGTCAGTAGTAAGCTGGTATATGGCTTACGTGTCCTTTATTAAATATGGAGGCACACCCGAAATAATCTACCTACATCCTGCATGCTCTGGTTTAAGTGGTTTATCGGGCATTTTAGTGGTCACTAACAGCACAAAATTGCTCATATATTTTTCCGTTAGGCTGAACTGCATCGTAGAACGACTTTAAAGCTGTATGTTTGTCGATCTCTGCTCTATCGCGCGCAGTCCAAAGTTCGCGGGGTCGAAGAATTCCCGGTTACCTCATGTTTATAAGTCTATTTATGAAGGCCAAATATTTGGAACGTTTTTCATCAGCAGTGACATAATAAGTCACATAAAGTTTGGTTGCCTTATGGTGATGTTCATCTTATATCTTGAAAATGGTTCTTCTCGCTGTTGGCGTAATTCCTTTTTCGAATGATGAACTAATGCAGTTATTGTCTTGGTTATTCCATATCCTTATCCATACATTTTGGTACCTGAGCAAGTTCTTCATCAAATTTTACTTTGGATTCTGGTTAGTTAATGGTGAACAAATAAAATCTAATCAACCTGTACAGCAGGTCTTACTCACTATACTACCTCGTCCTCCTTGCTATTTATGCCTGTGCTTATGACGGAACCTCCAATGCGGACTTGGAAGCATACATTAGTGTGCAGAGTACGAAAAGTTTACGACATTTCAAGAGTTATTCAATCCCTATCATCAAGACGAAATTTAAGTGGAACATACGGCATACGGATATACCGTCCTTTGCGTCGGTCCCGCTTTCCTTTTTGAATTCGCATATGTTCGTGCCAGTATACTTTCCATTTAGTTATTTCTCTGTTGGTTTATTATATTGCTGTATTATTATTGCTGTATATTGGTGCGTATCGCCAGACGCCCACCGCGTTACTGCGCTTTGCATTTAAACTCAATGGTGGCAATATCAGCTTTGCGCCAAACCTCCCACCGGCGGATCGACCAAAGGTTAAGCAAGTCATCAGATGCCTCCAGAGTAGGACGGCAGCCTGTGAGCTAGGCCCTCATCCTGTGTGTTTGCAGGCGGTCAGCCGGAATTCCAATTCTGCACTAGCAAAACCTCTTCTGCTAGCGTAGGACGCAAGGCTCGTTGTAACGAGTTCCGTCGGTTAGTACTTAGCAATGTGCGTAGCCTAAAAAACTAGGTACGCCGAGTGGGTCAACTTGTAGACAAATCTCCACCCGATATACTTGCTTTCACTTAAACGGGGTTATCCCCCGATATCACAGCCGGCGAATATTGTTTACCTTACTATGCACTGTTTAGATGTGACTGATTCGTTTGCCGTCACAGCGTGAGTGTCGCACTTTGTGTGAGTTGTAAACTGGATGTGTTGAGGACCTACGTTTGTCAGTCGCCAGCGCAAAATATTGTAGCCATCGCGGCCATTGTATACACCTCCGACAGCCCCATCTGACCGTGAAAGAACCCGCGTTCTAATCGCTCACCTGTGTGTCCCTTGTTTTACCACCGTTCTCATTTGCATTTTGTCACACAACCGTGTGTTCTAACCTATTCGCCCCATCTTCAGCTGCGCTATTTAGTGCACTCCATCTCTCGGCTCTTACTCGTGCGGATGGCCATTTAGCTTCACATCACTGTTTCTGCGTCATTCCCGTCAAAGCATCCGCATGGAATTATCCAAAGCACGACCCACACGGAAATACTTATGGTTTCAGACGAAAGCCAACTACACGTTACATCTGACGAATCAGCTGTAGACCGTTCATCAAAGCGGCATCGTACAGGTTGTGTCGGTATCGTTCATTTGCTCCGTTTGCTGCATGAAAGACCTAGCCGCTCAAACCGGTACCACCTCGGTCAGACGCCCCGAACTTGACGACCATAAAGACGCAAACAATTCAGGGCAAATGCGACCGGCAAGTAGCAATACGCGCCCGGTCGTCTTTGGGAATACGAGTGTTCCATGCAATGAATTATGGTGTCAAAGCAACAGCCCATGTTATCGCATCCAGATTGACAATAATTGGTGACCTTCATCCATGACATAAAAATCTACGGGTAGGACTCCAAGGTTGCGGTTGCCAAGTCAAGTTGCATTGCAGACGTTCCAAGCTCACAGCGAAAAATTTTAATCAAACAAATAGTAAACCGGGTACACTGTGGTTTCGTTCAGTATGTATAGTCATCCCACTAGTAAAGGTTGTAGCCGAATTATTGCAGAAGTACGAAAGACTAGTGGCAAAGTTTGCACAAAGGAGGGCCCCAAACGCGACTCGTTTGTAGTAGACGTGACAGAGAGAGAGAGAGCCCAGTCTTTACCATTCAGCACCACAATAAAACTTGAGTAGCAGGCTAGGCAGCGCATTAAAATTCCTCATCTTTGGCGTTGTAAAATTCCAATACCACCAGTTGCTCACATGTACCTAAATCAACCACCTCCAGTCCGAATGCAATGACTTCGGTCACTGCTTCGTCCACCCTCCAACCCGTTCCGAAAATTCAGAAGCGCTTCAAAGCCAGTGCTGATTGGAAGTTGCTTGCTGCCAAAAGTGACCGGAAACCTAGACCTTAGGCCATGTCCACTGGACTAATAGTAAATGAAATAGACGGAGCTGAAACCAAACAACCTCCATACACTCTATACAAACCAGCTGGTCACTTGCTTACAGTCAGAGTCGCACGTAATATGCCAACGGTTACCTGCATGAACATTACAGACTGGGGGTCAAATTACTTAAAAGGAAACCTACGTGGTGACTTGAAACAGTGGAACTCCATGAGTTGCACCATAGGTGTTTTAACTAAGCCCGTAAATTTGACACTTGGTCCGTCACCCAAACTCACAGCAATACGATGAACCAAGGCTTCTCAGAGTTGTGCTGGTTACTGCCCATGGAGCAGCAGCTGTCCGGGTATCGACAGCGCGCCCCCGGATTTGGTCATGTTCCATCCGCTTGTTTGTGGATTTTCCGTGGAGCGACGAAGACAGGCTAAGCATTACTTGGACGAAAACTTGAAGGAATCCGTAGTCAAGCAGGTCCCTGCACCCTGTGTTCCCGAGGAGGAAAGTACTGCTGTGCGCGAAGTGGCCCCTTATCTCCGGGAGCAATGGCGGTACATTCGCTTAACCCGCACCCTTGAAAACCTCATAACTCAACCGATCTCGAGGCTACGCGGATAGTCAAACTAAAAGTGGTGAAGCCCGTGGCTTGTGAAAGTAGTCCTTAACTCTTGACAATTTTCTGCAAGGGGAGGGGAGGGATGGTATACAGTATGCAGCAGCCTTTCTGTCGTGCTTCGGATCAATGCAGCATCTGCCAAGCAAACACACTTGTGTAGTCACCTACTTAGACCACTTACCAACAAGAGTTCACAAAACTTCAATCAACTAACCAATGAAACTGAAAAACACACCCCAGACACTACATCCAAAGACAGAAGCAGAGATAATGGTAGGAGCCATAAATCGGGCACGGATTAGTTAGTCACCCCCATACCCAAAAATCAATTATGTGCTGAGCTTTCACCGGTAGTCACAAACTTTTCCAAAACACCCCTCAAAGGATACATTGCTACAACAGGGAAACATTCCTGCATGTTCACTAATTCACAGGGTCTTCTGAAGGAGCTTGCCGGACCGCGGCTACGTCAAGCGTCACATACTTGGGGCCCACACCCGTTACCCAAACCTGGTTGCTCTAAGAAATTACCGATGCCGAAGTCGCAAAACACGGCATGTCCCTTCTCCTGAACGATGGCCCTTGCAAAGGCGGGGTAATGTTATACTACAGCAACCACCCGGCTTGCGAACCGGTGGCCGATCCGGAAATGCTGATAATGGACTCACTCTGGTGCGGTTTGCGACCGAGACGCAACGACACTTGCCTTTTGGCTGTTGTATATCGTTCCCAATTTTCACCCCTCAGATGGACTCATTCCATACATTACCCCTTGGAAGGGTCCAACGAGGAAAACCTACTCATGTTCGCAATTCAGGTGACTTCATATCTCATGAGTTGGAACTTCTGTATCCTCAACGAGCAGTTTAATGCCGACCGGCAAGAGTATGTAGCAAGCTTTCTACTCATTAGCCATCTTATTGCACCT